ACTTATTGCCTTTAAATTACATGTGTTGTTTTCAACGCTCTATAGCTTCTTCATACAAACTCCAAATATAAAAATTCTTTCACAAAATATATAGATCTTAAAATCACTCTTAAAATTGTATCTCTTGATTTCCAAAATCATTCATAAAATCCCTCGTTTTTTCAAAATAGTAATAATATGTCTTAAAAAGACTTCATAACTTCAAACGGTTGTAACTTCATCATCCTAACTCCAAATTTTCTAAGTTTTTCTTATAAATTTTTGTCCAAATTCTAAATCTTACAATCTTAATTTTGATTTTTAAATGCCCCTTTTGAAGTTGCCAAAATCCTTGTTAAATTTGCAGACAACTTACTAAATATCTATTGGATATGGCCTTTGACTAATAGGAATGGAGATCTTTATTTTTTACCTTCATCTATTCATACCCTTCTTTCATCCCTCCAAATATATTTTTTTAGAGATTTGGAACTTTATCTTTGAGCCCCAATCTTCTCTTAAAATTTTATACTAAGTATCTAAATTCTATATAATTTAAACACTACAATCAATTTAAGTAAATTTCAAAATAAATTTTCTTTCATCAACTCTCTTTAAATTAATCTACTAACTACTCTAATGCACATCAAAATTTCTAAGTTCAAGTTTAATAACAATCATCTCTTTTTTGAGAGACAATTATATATTCTAAAAGTCAAAGCAAAATTATGTGTTTTTCAAGCTTATTATCACTTTTTAATAATCAAAAATTTTGAATACAACAAAGCGTAAGAACTAATATTCAGAGATTTTTAATAGCTTCAAATGTAGAGGACAGTTAAAAACTTTGTATAATCATGTAACATTTGTTCAAGATCAAAAATTCCTCATCATTAATTTTATGGATTTTTTCACCCATTATCTATGTTAAAATGGCTATGGTCTTTAGTTTCTATGGATTTTATCATAGATCTTTTAATTTCATATTTTTATGATTCTATATTTATAATAGAAGATTAATTTATTAAGATGGTATATTTTATATCATGTACAAAATCTATTTCAAGTGAAGAAACAAATAATCTTTTTATTGATAATATTTATTACTATTATGGATTATTCAAGGATATTATATCAAATAGGAGGACTCAATTTGTATCAAGATTTTAGATAATCCTTTTTAAGATTCTAAAGGTGGATATAAATTTATCTTTGACTTTTTATGTTCAAATTTATAAACAAACATAGCATATAAATAAAGTTTTAGAGTAGTATTTAAGATATACTATGAACTATCATCAAAATAATTGGATAACTCTTTTGCCATTGGCAAAATTTGTATATAATAATTTGGTACATTCTTCTATTCAACAAACATCTTTCTTTATCAATTATCATTATCATCTATGACTTGATATTTTTGACTTTTCAAAAATTGATAATCCTATGGTGAAAGATTTTATAAATTATTTGTCAGAGCTATATGTAATAATAAAGAAATAGTTAAAGAAAGCTCAAGAATGACAAAAGTTCAATATAGATGTTAATTACAAGGAATAATCATAATTCAATGTAGATGATAAAGTATGGTTATTTTATTTCAATATCAAGGCTATTTGTCCTTGTGACAAGTTAGATTATTGTAGGCTTTGATCTTTTCTTATTTGTAAACAAATCAATCTAGTTGTTCATTGATTATACCTATCAAAATCAATGAAGATCTATCTTATATTCTACATGTCTCTTCTTGAGTCATATAAGATAGTGAATATATTGAGAAAAAGATAAGTAACTCTTCCTCATATAGAAGTAAATAATAATAAAAAGTTTGATGTTGAAGAAGTCTTAAAGCATACCAAAATAGATTAAAATATTTCATATATTGGTATAAATATGATATTAATGAACACACAAAAAAGTTAATCAAGAATCTTGTGAATGCGACAAAAGAAATTGATATTTTTCATCGATGACATCCATCAAAATTAAGATAAAGAATAAAGTAATTTTTTTATTACAAACGAAATAAAGATTAGTAAAGATTATATTCTATCTTCTATCATAGTTTTTGATTTTGCATATTTTTAACATTAAAGATAGAAAATCAATAATCAATAAAATCAACTAAGGCAAAATTATTTGTTAATTTATTAAAAAAGACATTGTGATTGTTACAACTTCCTAAATATTGGAATAGAGACAAAGATCCTTAAAAACAACATGTTTTTTTTAAATAGATGACAAGATACAATGTGTTTAGTATCATGACCTTGAAAGAGACTCAACATATTTGATGATATTACTAAAGATTGGAACCACCTTTAATGGTATTTCAAATGTTTTATTTGAAAGAAGCTATGAAGGCCTCAACAATGATCAAATATTAAGGTAATCTTCTTGGCTTAATATGAGACATTATTGATAGTTGAGAGGACCTATCAATAACTATTAAAGAAAACAAAGTTTGAAGTATGTAGCAAATTTAATTTGCCACATCTTAGACTTTATCAACTTGTGATTACTACTTCTTGTGGAATTGGTCTTTAGAAAAGAGAATAATATCACAATATTATATATAATTAAAAAAAAAAACTAAAAAAAACTAAATATTTGCTAAATCTATTTAAATAAAAGGTGATAATGCATGATAGAATAATACAAAAGTCAGCAAAAGAATGAAATCAAATAGATAGAAATATTATCAAATTTGGAAGTTAAGAATATGTAGAAATCAATATATATATATATATATATATAGGAATCAAGAAAAACTAGTAGACTATAGAAATGTTAGAAATATAAGGATTTAAAAGTTTAGAAGACCATGATAGACTTAGTATATAAGAAAATAAATAGTAAAAAGTAGGAAATTAATTTTCTAAGTCTTTACTTTAATATATGTATCATTCTTGAATTTTGTATAGAGATAGAGAATGCAAGATGAAAAGAATAAGGTAGTTATGGTGATATTAAATTTAAGATATAGAAAGATAAGTATATTCTTATCTAATATAAAAATTATTATATAAAATTTACTTATAAATAAGACTTAAATAGAAAAAATTGATATTTAATTAATATCCTATATTTGTTATTTTTATTAATTTCTAATGAATTTTTTAGAATTTTTTAAAATATTTCTAATATTCTTATTAACCAATTATATAAACAAATCTTTTTAAAACATATATATTATAATTTATTGCAATCACATCTATATTTATATCTTATTATATCTGATAAAATATTATTTTATTAATTTTAGAAATGTTTCAAATATAAGTCCCACTATGTTTTAAAAAAATTAATTAAAAAAGAATATTTTTTTTAAAATAATTTTTTTCAAACTGAAGACATGTTTATGTAAGTATGCCTATTATATTGACTAAAAATGTATTAAAGTCACTAAGTTTAAGGTCCAATATTAAATAATGCTTCTTATGCATCTTTTTTTAATAAATTTTTATAACTTGAAGGTAATAAAGAAAAATATAAGATGATACTTGTAACAACTTAGTAAAAATGAGTAAAAAAAAATCAGTTTATATTTAATCAAAAATTTAAGAATAATTAATATAATTAATTATGATAAAAAAAAATAAGATTCAAATTTGTCATTTTTAATCTACTACATATAGAATTATTTTACACTATAAGAATTTAAATTTTTATTAGTAATTTTTTTTATATTATAATTTTAACATGTTTGATTTATACAAAAACTCCTAAATAGATTTTAGTATCAACTATTGCAACTAGTGTATCGGTAATATTGAAATCACAACTTCCTCTACCTTTATTATCACAACTATCCTGTCAAAACTAAAAGCAAATCCCTATATTTCTATAAACCTCTACAAATATTACAAACAAAAATCTATTTTGTTACACTTTGAGATATCTCAAACCATGATAATCAATCATTTACAACTCTAATTAACAGCCTGAGCTTCCACAGTCAACCAATATACATTGGCTTGTGTTTTCACTTTCCAATCAACAAGTTGTGAGGAAACCGCTTCATCTAATTTCATGTTCAACTTCGAAAATTCGACAGATGTACTCATCAAATCCTTTATCTGATGCTACACACAAATATCAAGCTTGCATCTTTAGCATTCAACCCTACTCACCTTGCAGTAGTTGCTTTGAACTGATGTACATGACAGTTACTCTGTAAAGCAGATTCTCTGCAACTTCTCGTAAGTTTATTAGCTCTGCAACTCAAGGGAAAGTGTAAGAACACATTAGTTTAGTCAGTAGCAGAGGGTTTTGATTAGTAGAGCAATCGAACTCGCTCTTTTAACTTTGTTGCTTTCAGCGGCTCTTCCGATGGCTCGTAACCTCATATAGCTCCCAGTAGACTAATTCTCCCCTTCGAAGGCTTATGTTTATTTAGCAAATTCATGGGTGCTTGAAGGTGATTTGCACAAAAGTCAGAGCAGAAGTGTGCACATCATTTATGTTTTTTCATGGTTGTTTGCTAGTATTGTCATTGATGTCTATTGATCTGGTTGTCAGCCCCGAAGTAGGTATGTGCTTGGAAAACTTGGAATTGTTGCAACAGCTTGATCATTGTGTACAATGCCTGAGGGAGGGTGACTGATCCGTGTAACTGCATTGTCGCTTACCAATTTTACCGTGATTGCTAGTTGCATTTGATTGCTCACTTGCGGTGAGCGTTTTCATGTTTTAAATATGTCTTTGGTGAGTAGTTTAAAGAAAGGTCTGAATATTTGTGTTGGATATATATCTTCAACGTATTGAATGCACAAATCTCGAGTATGCAAGATCACAATAAAGCCAATTTTAATTAGTGGAGTGTTAATTATTCTTGCATTCAAAATGATCGATTCTGTTAGTTCGTTGAACCTCAAATAAGCTCTTACAAGAAGCAAGAGAAGATGGATCACAAGAGCGCAGGGTTTATTATTCAGCAGCATTCATTCACAGATATCCCATTTTCTATTCAAAATCTGGCGCTGTAAACTGCACCAATTCAACCATGACTGAAAAACACATTGCTAAAGTGGCTATTTTTTTCGTTTGAAACACATGGTTCACATTCTAGACACATTTGTTACAGGAAAAGTTACATTACAGCAAATTTACAAGCTCCACACGAGGGCTTTCAAACCAAAAAAAAATCCTATCTTTCTCTAGACGTCGAAGTATTTGCATTACAAACGCTTCTCTATTCGAGAATTGGAGGTGCTACACGTGTACGGGACTGTGGGTTCAGCACAACACTTGTGGAGGAGCTGCCTTCCTGGTCGAACTTGGCTGAAACGGCAGTCGTAGTGCCAGCAGGTATACGCACCGGAGGATACAGATCTAGTGCTACTTGACCCGCAATCACTGCCACCGCACAAGCACCAATAGTTGCAAGAGTGATCCTGCCACCAAGTAGTGACGTGTTCTGAGAGGCCTTGGAGTTCTGTACTGTAGACGTTTCTTCGATAATATCATGGCTTGAATTTAATAAGCTCCAAGCCATGATTGGTGGGATGACACCATACAAACTTGTCATTCCGTACGCACCCTGAATTGCCAACGTTCAAGCAGACATACAACAAAATCAGCATCTCAAAGTATAAGCACCTAATCGGAATTGGAACACTTGTAGGATGAATAACGTCCGCAATGATCTTAATAGGCAGACTGCGATGCCTAAGGGCTTTTTAGAGAGGCATAAAATTACCGCAAGGTCTGATGCTGAAAAGAAGGCATCTGTGACGAGTGATGAAGCCGCCAAAGGAGGCGCAAGTACAAGGAAAAACGAAAGGGCGCGTGGACCGTTAACATCCAACCATTCGGAGAGTGCTGATGGTGTTTTACGTTGAATCGACAGCTTCTCCAATGCTAGACCTGGACATCAGTTATCTGACGATTAAGTATTTGAATTTTGAGAATGTGATACACCTAGGTGAATTGAAAATTTTACTCTTTCTTGTAAAGAAATAAAAAAGGATACAATGAATGCGGGAAAAAAAGTACGACAAGGCTTGAAGAAATCTGTGCTGAATTGGCAACCATTCAAACGATCAGAATAGAAGATTTGAGAACCTTGTGCTTTGCCCAATTGCTCGAGGAGAAACTCTGACAGCCCCAATACCGTTCCAATGAAGGAGGTCGCGACTGCTAGGAGCGCAAACGTCTCAACAACAAATGCCGGCCCTGGACCACCTATTCTGGATAATTTCAGAAAAGATGTCAAAACCTTCTAGAGATGTACAGACGTTCAGGGTGACAAAACGAGAACCACCAATAACAACAGTATCGGTATTCAGTAACATGTACACACAGCATTCACTATAAATGCTAAGGTGGCGTAGGTTTATACACAGTAGGTTTATACACAGTACACTGCAAAGGATTGACGAGTATTGCTTAGGTGCCCCAGGCCAAACAGCTCAATATAATAACGATGACGACTCCCTACACAGCAATGCAAGACTAACGACACATAAACATAAGCCAAATAACAAACCTAATAATTTCATTGATTGGATCCGTTGCTCCAGAAAGTGGAGTCAAGCACAGGGCTACCGCATCCCAGCTCAGAAACATTGCAAGGGGAATCAAACTGCCCAACACCAAGCTAATCCGGATTCGGGCAATGTCACCGCCCAACTGCGCACAGATCACTGTCACAGCACGCGAATGAAACACACGGCACGGACATACTCTGTAAATGGAAAAATCGAAATAAAAAACATACTGACCCTAAGTACATTTTATTGTCCTGAACGTGGGATTAGCTAAAGATCGACCTTACTGACATAAAGTAACCTATTACATTTCTCAAGATTTCAAGTTCTTTAGAGCCTTGCCACCACAGAAAAGTAGTGAGCAGTTAAAAGTCATTCAAAGATTCTTGCCAAGTCGGGCATCTTGTTCAGTCAAGGTTTTGCATTGCCATAAGTCGTGCATAGTAGACAGGTTGAAGCCATCAGTGTAACGAGTACCTGGAGTGAGATCATGGTAAACGAGGGCCAGCAGAATAATAGGTATAGTTTGAGGAGCTACAACCCAATCAACGTGCTCAAGGCCTGTCCAGTCTGCTATCGATCCACCTCCGAGCACAATCAGCAGAAAAAACCCTGCAAATTACCCAGAAAAATTCAGGTTTCAATCCTCTCCAAAGCTCCAACGAAATCTTTATATCTCATATACGTTGCTAATGGTCCCTGAAGTCATAAATAAATTTGTTGGTTGTCGCCATGGAAACCCTCTAAAATCTACGCAGAAAATGTCCAGGTGTTACATGTACTCACCAAGAAGCATAACGGTGAGCACTTGGTTAATGGAGTCCGCCATCTTGGCACCCCCAACACACAGCAGGCTGCCGAAGCCTACTGTAAAAACTACATCTGCAACAGTTCGATTGGAGACATTCAGGAGTACAGAGAGAACCTCTCCTGATTTTGAGATGTAGGCAACAAGCAGCGTGTATGATAGCATAAGATAGATAACGGTCGTGAAAAGTCCTCCAAATGGACCCATTGTCTCATCTGCCATGGTTCTGAGAGACAACACTTGCGAATGAAGCTCCTCCCCAGGCTCTCGCTTTCGCATCAACTCCACATTCACTTCAGCAAGCAAGAGCGCTTCCAAAAGCAAGAACGCCCAAGATATGCTCATAACTGCGGTTGTTGGTATGAACCCCTAAAATAATAAAAACACCTTCTATGGTTAGGTGTAGCATTTCAAAGAACAGCGTGCGATCCACCAAGATAGCTGCAGAACAGAAGACTTGCTGAAGTGAAGGATCCAGCAGGAAATGAAGGATGTATGGTTAAGGAGTTTGAGCCAAATGAAGGCTTACGGCGGGTGCTGTGATAGCTGGGAGGGCCAAAATTCCTGCACCAACGCTGGATCCTGTGATTAGAGCCACGGCCCCAAAAATGGAACTCGTAGCCGCGGAATGACCCACATTGGCCTCCACCAACTGTACGTCTAGATTGGGATTTCCTTCGGCAGGTTTAGGGCTGCAACGATTGAGCACAGTAAAAGTTGTTAAATTCAAGAGCTAATCCTGCAGACGACGACTGAAGCCTAAGTCTAGAATGTCATGCATGTTGCTACTACCTGCTCGCCCAAGCAATACGAAAGTGAAGAGAGAAGATATACCTGGGCTCGTTAGTATCAAGAATGGTAGCATCACCCGAAAGACTCGAGCTGAGGGTCTCAGTGCTTGTCGCACCAACGCTGACATCAATCTTGTGTTCTTCTGCAGTTGCTTTACAATATAGATGTGAAAATCTGCCTTCTGACGGACGGAATGTCGCTGCCCTCAAGGGACTCCATGCCTATTTGTGGGAATTTTGAACATACACATAACAAAGACACGAATGTTCTCAGCACTGCATCAAAAATATGTACTCTACAAAGACAGCACCCGAGGTGACGATACTTCTGAAGTGAATTTGCACACTCAGCTACAGCAACAAGCGCATCGGAGATCAAGCATAACTTTGAAGCAAATCGACGTGAGAAGGAGAGCAATTGTCATTAATGGATTGTACCACATGATAGTGCAAATCCTGCCACAACCCCTTGCTTCTAGTTTTCAATCTCTGTTGGTGACCATCTGCAGGGAGTAGACCAAATGATGTCGAGAGCTGGCTTCCGCCATGGCTTAGCATAATTTTTCCAAAACATAATGGCATTCCTTTCTGTCTTGAGTATGACTCTTCGTGATAGGATTGCAAAGACCTTAAGCAGCTGTAACGCAAGTTTCGTGTGCAGAGGTTGGCTACAGAATGCTCGATTTCAGTGACGTAGTCGGGAAGCAGAGGTCGGTCCTATTCCATCATGGACAGGCAAGTTCGAAGACAACACAAAGAAACTTTGTAGTGGCAATATAGTAGAATGCCAATTGGGCTGATTCCTATTAGAGCAACAACGAGAGCAGAAACCTACAGTAGAGGACGATAATTCTGAAGCATTTGAGCGTCAAGCCGTACTGATCGTATCACAAAGGAAGAATTAAATTGGCAGCAACATCAGCTCTACGCAAGCGTTTGAATGAGAAGGTCCAGCTTTAGGAGGTGTCGCAATTGTTGTGAAAGTTTTGAATACTGAAACGTCTGGCTGCAACAACTGTGAACCCCACTATTGGTGCGAGGGAAAGGAGCGGTGGTGAACGAAAAGCAGACCCAATTTTGCTTTTTCTTTGACCACCCACCACTAAGCTGTTGTGTGGATCTTTAGCACCACCTGAGACCGCAGCCTTTGGAAGACAGGAATCTGTCAACCTCTTATTGCGGAGATTCTATCGTCTTCACTCTCTGCTACTCCTGCTGATATCCTCGCCCAAGGTTGCGAGGTTGAAGACCTGATTGTCCTATGCCCCTCTAGCTTATGCTCAGCGAGAAAATGTGCACTACCACGTGAAAGTCCTTTTCCTCTGGTTTGAACCTTCCCCGACTGTTTGGAAAGCCAACTCGAGCTTATTTTTGGGGACCTTTTAGAACTTTTCTCTTTGAACTCGGTAACTGAACGTCCGATCGTTTTGCCCTCCGTATCTCTTCCACATTCGAATCTGCTCTAGAGTTCTGAATCTCGTGTATTTCTTCAGCCCCACCTCTGTTTCTGCAGCTCAGAAATTGAGATTGGAAGAGCTTTTTATTGGATTGGGGTTTCTTATTGCATCGTCTATTTGGTGATTTTAGGTCTTAGATATTAGAGAGGTGTTGAAACTTGGGAGACATCAGATGGGTGTATTGCACAGGGGCGTGCAGGATACGTTGGATCCTAGAATTCTACTAGAGGTGATGATCAGAACTGAGCTGAGCTTGCGACAGTGAAGTGGGATTGATTTTATCTGTGGATTCGAGTGAGGACCACTCAGGAAAGTGTGCACTAAGAAGGTGGTTCAACGATGGCGTCCTTAGGTACTGGGACCTTGGCGCTGCGATGTGGATGTGATGCATTGACATTATGTCGCGGACTGTACGATATTCCCGTCAGTCTTTCATTTCCAAGGTCTTCCCGTATCTCTGCAGAAGCGCAGAAAAGCTCACACGGAAGGATAATGAAGAAGAACAATGCTGTGGACGTGAATGTTGCGTCGTTGAATGCCTTTGAAGATAATGCGGAAGTTGGAAACTCAAACGGAGAAGCGGAGCCCGAGATGGTTAATGAGAAGACACCTCAAATGCCCTTGCAGCAACTGTTGATGAGGATGTTGAAACCGGACAAAGCTTTGGACGCAGCAATAGGATTCATGGCTCCAAGAGAGAGGTGATATCAGAGATGTATTTCTTATGAGCTTCTCTTTCGCCGTCCTGGTATACATCTCGCAGCGCCTTGTGTGTCTGTATTGTGCAGTCCTACAGATGTCCGCTCACAACTTCTAGATATTCAGGCGCCTCTTTTGTTTTGCCCTAAACTAGGCATTTCTTCAGCCATTTTGTTTTGATTCAGCTGATTCTGTACAAATTTGTTTCCATACTGGAGATGCAAACATCGAGTGTAGTATAGCTTTCCTTTTCAAATTTGATCTCGCCGAATGCTTCTCATAAATGTGGATGCGGAGATGTTCATTCTGATCTGTAACGAAGAATGGAAACTTAAGTTGAAGAAGAATTGCAAATGAACTATTTCTGTCAAAAGTGTAATCATGTAGGACGTAATCAGTTTTACACGTACGATGCCTACGTTGCAGACATTCTTCGGTAATACGTCAACAAAAAGGCTACATTAATCGGTTTTTGTTTTATACATCCATAGTTTTGCTAAAAAATTGGAGAGCATTTCTAGCTTACAATTCTATGGTCAAGCACTCACCGGGGATCTCGATCTGTGGATAACTCAATGATAATGGTTGACATGGTACGACCTGTACCTAGCCTTGACTTGTAAACCTTAATCACTATCAAGGTCCTGGAGTATGTCAAGGACCTTACTGCTCACCACAAGGATATATCGAGTATGCATACCGTTGTCGCATTGAATTCTTCCTACAATTTCCAGTTTTGCTAGATTTGTCAAGAATCCAAAGGAACAACATTTACTTCAAACAATTATATTCTGCGACAAAGATGATTGTAACGAAAGAACATACTAAAACACTGTCCTTTAAAGGCGATACAACCTTAGCCGAAGGTCATCATTATAAATAGACACAGCAACACTCAGAATTAGTTACGGGTACTAAACTACAATGCATAAACTGCAAATCGGCATTCCATCGCAGATCTTTAAGTAGAGAGACAGTAGTTCAGCTCTTAGCCTGCTGCACACAATAATGTAATAAAAATCATTAGACTGAGATTCAAATTATTATACACGAAACCATGAAATCAAATGAACCAGATGGTCTCGGGTTCTAGCAACGGGGTGTTGCTTGTTTTATCCAACCAACAAAATTTTACATGAGCATCATTCTGTTCGTATTGAGAGCTGCATGCGCAATATCCAATTCACGTGAAATATGCAGAGTACCTAAAAGATTGGAATCATCATCATCACATCCCATAGAACCTTCACTTTGCTGGTGATCCATTGTGATGCGGGAATGTTGGTAGCTATCAGGCTCAAGAATCTCACCATCGAAATAGTCGCCATCTATAAAGCAAGCCGACTGATTTAGTGATATGCATGCACAAAACCGAAACACAAGATAATCCTCAACAATCTTCAGTCAAAATTGAAATCTTCACGAAATTGAAGTTATTGAGGGAGACGCACATACCACTTTCCATTGCCGTTCAAAGAAAGCGTGAAGCTCCTCCCACAACTTCCCTTTCAAAGTGGCCAACTTTTGAAAGTCCGTAGGATTCACCATCAGAATGCCGAGAATTGGCTTCCGCAGGTTGTAGGCTAACCACGCAACCGTAAGAGGATCCATAGCGTTTGTGGCTTGTGCTAGTTTTCTGAGTTTAGCAGGATTGGTTGAAAAAGCTGCCAAGACAGCCTCCAGCACTCGCACCCAACCAAAAAATGCGAAGGCAAAGATGAGGTAGTTGAGGTCAACGGCAATTCGCACAAGCTGATTGTGCTGCATTGTGAGCTCAGTCGCAGTCCATTGATGTAACGCAGTCTTTCCATCCTTCGATTCATAGGAAGAAGCTTCAAAGGCTAGAAGCTCCGGTTGCTTCTTGTTCTTGTCCTTCTTGAAGATGCCAACTACGCCGCCAACGCTGTTCGTTACCAACTGTTTGCTGCCATCTCCGATTTTGAAAATTAGTTTCTGTAATGTCTTGAATGAATACACAGAGTCCCCGATTTTTTGTACTTCAGTGTCGTCTCCTGACAATTGAACCTCAGTCGTAATGGCTTCCCCATCCATAACGTTAGAGGATTCTTTGTCTTGAGTTTCTTTAGATTCTGAAAACCCCTCTCCATTTGCAGGTAAATCTGGGCTGCTTCCCGCAGAAGCAGCTACTCGTCTATGGCACGAGCAAGTCTTCGACCTTGAAAGAGCATAGCCTTCTACTCGGAGAAAGCCAGGGTTCTCCGATCGCCGAGCTCTTAGGTTTCCATGTGAGGTTAGGCATCTTGCCAAAGGAAGAGGTGATGCAACCAAGAATTGGAAATCTCTGCAACTAGAATTAATACAGTTAGTACTAGTAGCAGCGGACCTTCTATATGGCACCGCTCTTGAAGTCGAGGGAATCACAACCAACCTACATGTCAAATTTGTGTAGGCTAAATTCACAATCCCTGACCCCATGATTTCCTTTCTTTCCCCAAGAGCAATCTGTACCGAAACGCCCCGAATACTCTCAATTGAACTCTTCTTGAGGATCTACTAGTTCGATACGATGGATTGTAGCTCAAATTGCAAGCAACCTATCCTTGTCAGGCCCTCAGAGACAGAGCTTGCAAGAGCGCAACGGTGTCACCGGCATCCAAGCTGCTCATCCCTCACAAAAATAAAAGAGCGGCAGTCCTCAACAGAAAGTATATCGATTCAAACACCAATCTCCAACACAGCCATCCACGCTCTCTGCACTCCACAACGGTTACAATCTCGAAACTTCGTAACTACTACAAATTATGCCGCCGGTACAATCAATACTAGTGCAATCTCCTAAATGACTCCTAAGCATCACAGCAGCAGACAGCCTCCAAATCAGAATCTGCAATTGACATGCATTTGCCCAGGAACGAAGCTCCACCACACAAATAAAAGCAACAAAAAACAAAAATTTTCCGCGTCGCGAATGAAGTAGTTCCTCCAGGTTTAGAAGTAACTACAATTAACTGCAATTCGATTCGGACGAACCTGTTTCCGCGAGCTCAGGAAATCGATCCGGAGCACGAACACGCAAGGCGATGGACATCTGCCAAAAGCTTATCCAGCGGTGTTGCTGCACCAGTCTCACCGACACCAAGTGCCGCCACCACAGGGTCCGGGCAATCTCCGGGTAACTAGGGACAACCTACAGAAGCGCTGGCGTAGCTCCGAAACCTAAACATGTGAAGCTCCCGACATCCTCTTTCATCGAACCAACGTGAACCGCAGACTGTGCCTCGAGAGCATCAACCTTGGCGAGTCTTCTCGACTTACTCAAAAAAATTAAACTACAAAAACTAGAGCGTGTCATATATTAGGATTGAGCTTGTGACGACACTTTCAACCATATTTTAGCTAAAAGTTCGATGGTGTAGAAGGGTAAGTATATAACACAAGGATGAACATGGTAATATGGAGTTTCTGCTCCAAAACATCTTGAACAGGGGGTTTCAAACACCCTCTTTTTGGGTGATATTTGCTCAAAGTACTTCTTGATATTTCAAAATACAACTTTACTTTACCAAATCACCCACCTCAAGTGGGTGATTTTGAAATCAAAATATCAAAAGAGGGTGCTCAAATATCAAAAACTTTGTCTCTTACCTCTTCAGTCTTTAACTCTATACCACACTGCCTAACACCATGCTTTATCACTTGGAAAAACAAGACTTTCTGAAATCTTGAACTGCTGACCACTTTCCCAGTTGATGATAGATTCAATGAAATGTTTGAAGAATATTGTCAGTAGTTTGACAGCAATTTTCAAAATGACTTCTTTGACTTTGATGATGCAAAAGAACTTGTGGGGATTTGTGATGCAATCAACAACTCTCCCTTCATATTCACTTGAAACTCTATATCCAAGTTGTGCTATTGGATTTTGAATAATTTTATAAATAAGTCTGATGCCTACTTTTGCCAAACAGCAAAAATATTGCAAGAAGGCTTTCAGACATTACTTTCATCTATCAAAGACCGCCCCATTTTTAAATATGACACCCAT